GTCGGAAACTTTTCAGACCACCCTCGTACAAATATATTCATGCATGTAATTTTATAACTTTTAAAATTTGAACGCTTGTAGGCTTTATGACGCTTATATACTTCGACCCGTATGGCCTAAAGCCTAGGAGGAATTTTCTGGTAGAGTTATGGGCTGCGAAGTACATAGACAGCGGGACGCAGTGAGGAGTTAGTGACGTAACAACTAAGGAAAGACAAGGACGGCGTTCGATAGTTTGTTCTTATCTAACTAACTTGACCCTGTAACCGGGACTCGTCCGAGAGCTTCCCGATTTCTTACGTCCAAGAGATTTATCAAATACACTTTTTGTTGTAGGATGTGTCCTCCTTGGTTCTAGGCCTTAGGTGGACCTTCTTGACTTATTTAGGTCCTCCCCCGTGGATGTGATTTAAGCTCCTCGGGACGGTCGATTTTCCGGGTGCTAAATCGACAAACCCTTGATGGGGCCCTCGCATGGGATTCCCCAAAACACTCTGATGAACATCAAAGACTGTGGGCTCGTGTCGTAGGACGCCACGCGACGAACGTACCGTTGCGAGACGGGATGAGGGATAAATTAACGAGTAACTAACTCGAATGTATGAGCAATTACCACTGCTTATTAAATGAACTATAAAATATAGCCATTATATAAAAGAATCGCATAACGCGCAGAACGGAACGACCGTTATGAAACACGCACGATCACACACGTCTGAACTGCCCGACTGTCTGTATGAGACTACTGATTTTCTTGAGTTACTAAGTTACGTGACCGTTTTGGCGTATGCGCACTCGATATCGTCAGTGGGACCTAATTCGGTACGTTTCGGTCCACCTAAAGTGTGCCGTAGATATGATCCCGTTTTTGAGTCCTTCAGACATCAGAGTACTGTTAAATTAGATTTTCCAGCAGCACGGTCCGCGCCTGCCCGTGCTATAAAAGCCAAACTACTTTTAAATAAAACAAAAAGTCAGATGGTCCGCTCGCTAGTGTTCATCTGACTTGCAACACCGTTCACGGCTACTAAACGTCCGATGGACGTTGTTTATCTACTAACATTATTACGTCCGACGGACACGAAACTACGTATCTGTGGCATTCTACGCATGAACGCCTCCGTACGCATGAGGCTAGGATTATAGGTTTGCGGAGTTTTAATTATACGGTGAAGTGGTAAAGTATTGGATGGAGGTTCAGAATATAGAGTTGTAGTTTCGGTAATATGTAAAATATAAAAATTGTGGGAATACAAAGTTTTAGATTTTGAATAGCATATATCTCGTAAACGGTGAGAGATACAGGGTTGTGGTATAGGACCAAATGTGTAGGGCTTGAAGAGTACTACAAGTTTGCTTATATAGACCAACCTTGTATCTTTTATCTGGAAGTAGGAAAAGGGTGTCTGAATGTTCAAGGTCGAATATCTCGTAAATGGTTAGTTCGTTTGGAAAGTATCATAAGGTTTCTTTGTAGAGCTTGATGAGATCTACAAAAAAGCTTTATACTTCGTTCCAAATGGACCGGTAATTTTGGAGAAAAATGAGATTGAAATATTTTTGAAATTTTTGTCCGTCTTCCAGAGAATGAATGGAAAGAGTGAAACTTGGGTGGAATGTTTACACCAATGGTGAGTACTCGATGAGAGAAGCATTTTGAAAGATCGATTTTTGTAATTTTTTTTTTTAATTTCTCATAATGGTATATCTCGTAAACGGGCGGTTTGTTAGGAAAGTGTTATAAGAGTTTTTTTCTTTTTTTTTTCTTTTTTTTTGAGCTTGACGAGGTCTACAAAAAAACCTTATAACTCGTTGCAAAGGGAGTTTTGGAGAAAAAAAATGAAATTGAAATATTTTTGAAATTTTTGTCCGTCCTTCAGAAACTGATGGGAAAGAGTGAAAATTCGATGGAGTGTCATGTATATATTTTTTTTTTGTTAAGGCAGAGAAAATGCATTACGCACACCCCCAGGAAAGACGGGACTTTCCCGGGAGCGGTGCATTTGGACACGGTGTATTTGGACATAGCCAATCATAGCGAGTGGCATTCAGTTGGACACAGTACAATTGGACACGTTGCAAATGGACACGGTGCAAATGGACACGGTGCAAATGGACACGGCACTTAACACACGGTTCAATTGGACACGGTGCGTTTGGACACGAAACTTTTGGGCACCGTTGTTTTTGGACACGAAAGAAAATGCACGACGTTCAGTTACACACCGTTCATTTGGACACCGTTCAGTTGGACACTGTTCAAGTGCCCACTGTTCACTTGGACACAGAAGGATGCTCACTGTTCACTTGGACACCGTTCACTTGGACACCGTTCATTTGGACACCGTTCATTTGGACACCGTTCACTTGGACACCGTTCACTTGGACACCGTTCAGTTGCCCACTGTTCACTTGGACACAGAACGATGCGTGCTGTTCATTTGTACACCGTTCACTTGGACACCGTGGAATTGCTTGTCTGTTCACTTGGACACAGAAGGATGCGCACTGTTCACTTGGACACAGTTCATTTGGACACAGTTCACTTGGACACCGTTCAATCGCCCACTGTTCACTAAGACACAGAAGGATGCGCACTGTTCATTTGGACACCTTTCACTTGGACATCGTTCAGTTGCTTGCTGTTTATTTAGACACAGAATGATGTGCACCGTTTATTTTATCATCATTTAATTATGTATCGTTTGTTTATGCAATGGATATGCAACTGATGA